AATGATAGCAATATTAATGACAATAATGATAATAATAATAAGACCAATGATAATAATAATGATAATAATAATGCTAATAATAATGATAATAAAATGATAATAATAATGATAATAATAATAAAATAATAATATTAATAATAATAATAATAATAATAATAATAATAATATAATGATAATAATAATAATACTAATAATAATAATAATATGATAATAATAATAACAATAATAATAATAATAATAATCATAATAATAATGATAATAATAGTAATAATAATAATAAGGAATAATAATAACAATGATAATAATAACAATAATAATAACAATAATAATGATAATAATGATAATGATAATGAAAAGTAATAATAATAATAATAATGATTACATTAATAATTATAATAATAATCATCATCATAATGATAATAATATAATAATAATAAGAATAAGTATAAGAATAATAGAACAACAACAACAACAATAATAATATAGATAATGATAATAATGAAAATAACAGTAATAATTATATTAATGATGATAAAATTATGATGATGATAATAACGATGATAATAATAATAATAATAATAATAATAATAATGATAATAATAATAATAATAATAATGATAATGATAATAATAATGATATATAATAATGATAATGATAATAATAATAATGATATTATTGATAGTAATAATATAATAATAGAAATGATTATAATAATAATAATAATAATAATGATAATAATAATATTATTGATAATAACAATATAATAATAGAAATGATAATAACAATAATGATCATAATAAAAAAAAAAAAAAAAAAAAAATAATAATAATAATGGTAATAGTAATGATAAAAAACAATGATAATGATAGTAATTATAATAATAATAATGATGGTGAAAAAATAATGATAGCAATATTAATGACAATAATGATAATAATAATAAGACCAATGATAATAATAATGATAATAATAATGATAATAATAATGATAATAATAATGATAATAATAATGATAATAATAATAATAATAATAATAATATTAATAATAATAATATTAATAATAATAATAATAATAATAATGATAATAATAGTAATAATAATGATAATAATAATGATAATAATAATAACAATAATAATAATAATAATAATAATAATAATAATAATAATAATAATAATAATAATAATAATGATAATAGTAATAATAATAGTAATAATAATAATAATAGTAATGATAATAGTAATAATAATGGTAATGATGATGATGATGATGATGATGATGATGATGATGATAATGATGATAATGATAAAAGTGACGATGATAATGATAATAAAAATAATGATGACAATGATAATAAAATTGATGATGATAATTATAATAACACTGATAATGTTGACAATACTAATAATCATTACAACAAGTATTACCATCATAATAAAAACGATGAGCTAGACTAACACGCGTTTGCTCAAGTATAATCTACTTATCTTAATACTTTATCATTAATTCAGGTAAATACATCCTTGCAACTAATAACACGCATCGAACATACACAAATCTACAACAGCCGCTGTACTACGAAATTTACCACAACAACGCTTAATCCTAGGGAGAGTCTTTTCCCTAACAGCCCCTCGTCTTATGCATTGCTGTTGGGGCCGAGGCGGAACTAACCCTCTCGTCGCTGACCTAAAAGGCAAAATTCGGCGCAGTGTCTTCGCGATACTTCTAGACAGAAGGGAGGGAGTGAGAGAGAGATGGATGGGGGGGAAGGGGGGAGGGAGAGATGGGTGGGAGGGAGGGAGAGATGGTTGGGAGGGAGGGAGGGAGAGGGAGATGGGCAAGAGGGAGGGAGGGAAGGAGGGAGAGGGAGTGAGTGAGAGAGAGATGGATGGGGGGGAAGGGGGGGAGGGAGAGGGAGGGAGTGAGAGAGAGATGGGTGGGAGGGAGTGAGAGAGAGATGGGTGGAGGGAGGGAGAGGGAGTAAGAGAGAGATGGGCGGGAGGGAGAGGAAGGGAGAGGAAGGGAGAGGGAGGGAGTGAGAGAGAGATGGGAGGGAGGGAGGGAGGGAGAGGGAGGGAGGGAGAGGGAGGGAGTGAGAGGGAGATGGGAGGGAGGGAGGGAGGGAGAAGGAGGGAGTGAGAGGGAGATGGGAGGGAGGGAGGGGGGGAGGGAGAGGGAGTGAGAGAGAGATGGGAGGGAGGGAAGGAGGGAGAGGGAGTGAGAGAGAGATGGGAGGGAGGGAGGAAGGAAGGGAGGGAGAGGAAGGGAGTGAGAGATATATGGGAGGGAGGGAGGGAGGGAGGGAGGGAGGGAGAGGAAGGGAGTGAGAGAGAGATGGGAGGAAGGGAGGGAGGGAGAGGAAGGGAGTGAGAGAGAGAGATGGGTGGGAGGGAGGGAGGGAGAGAGAGGAAGAGAGTGAAAGAGAGATGGGAGAGAGGGAGCGAGGGAGAAAAGAGGGGAGGGGGGAAGGAAGGAGGGAGTTAGGGAGGGAGGGAGTGAA